GATGCCATCCCTGCGCGATAACCCCTCTTAAGAATTGTTTTGTAACGCAACAAGCGATCTGAAGAATGGTGCTCATTAGGGGTCTGCATTCTTGTTTTTTTGGGGGGGGTGGGGGTGGGGGGGACAACTAGTGTAATTGCAAAATTTAGTAACAATGTACCTGCAAAATGAACTAGGGCAGCTGGGTGCTGTTCTCTCGTAGTTGGAAAATGCAGATATGGATCACTTGTTGACAAAATTATTCTCTCCATATTTGACAAGCTTGTTGGAAAATGCATATATGGATTCGAGAATGGATAAGTTCCTTGCCATCATTCTTATTGAATCTTAAATGCATTTTTGTGTGCTATGTTACATTTTCTGCTGTTTACCTGTACCTGTTGGGTGCTGTTCTCTCGTAGTGGCAAATGGCCTGATTTCTCAAGTGAAAGGGATTCTTGAGTGAAAAGCATTGGGGTGTTTGACTATTTGTGGCGATAAACTTTCAGGGTTTAACTGCATGTGGTTTTGTTTGGTGGGTTTCCCCTCTTCTTACAGTATTCTGTGAAACAGAGCCTTTTGGGGGCTTACTGTTATTGCTTCGTGTTAATGTAGCTGACATCAACTGTATGAGTAAATCAAAAGCCATTCGTTAGTTTTTTCGTTTATGACATTGTAAATTCTATATGACTGCTTACATGTCTGGTTTCCCAGGTTATGCACTTGCTTTGGACATGTCATCAAACGATCTGCAATCAGCTTCTAAGGTTCGCACTAAGAGCTGTAGTTTTCTACTTTTCTTTAGTCCTGTTCCACCTGTTCTGTTTTATTGCTACGTCCTGCCATTCTTGGTGGTTTTTGAAACCTTAAGTATAGATAGAGTAACTTATGAAAACAAATTTAGCAAAAACCATATACCGTAGTCTCAGAGTTCTCTCCTTTCCAGTGGTCAGGCCAAGGATTATGGATATTTGACCTGCATAAAGAAATTCACCAATAAACATCACATTGTACTCTCAAAAGTTCCATGTTTCTACAATTGTGTGAATAAACACAAACCTGTACTTTCGTTTTGGCATGTTAACAACTTGTTACAATCTCTTCATCCAATACATTTTACCTATGTTTTGGAACTATCTTTTTGTATAACTTGGTAGTATCAACTGACCAGCATGACCTTATAAATAAAACACCCGGTCCTATAATGTAAGATAATTTTCTTGTCTTGAACTTTCTAGTAATAACCATTGGAATTTGTAGTCTGCAGGTCTTCCTTGGACTTTGGGTAAAGTACAGGACACCTTTACTCCAATTAGTGCGGTGGTAAGTATAGTTTCTCTTTCCAATAGACAAGGACATTTACTCCTCATATGTAGACATTTGTGTCTAAAAAACCCACCTAACTTTCGTTGTCGATGAGGACACCTCCCTCTGTTATTGGATCATGGTCTTCATGCTTTGACCTTTGAACGTTCTATGTATCATTCGTGTGCGTTATCATGATATTTGTTAATTTTGGTGACTGTTAAATAGGTTCCGAAATCAGCAATCGCTAATCCCTATGACCTAGAACTGTGGCTAAAGGTAATTGTATAAATATGTACCGAGAATTTATTGCAGCCAGCAATCAAAATAATGACATTATCATTAACAAGCATTGAACAACCATATCCAGGTAGATGGTGAACTTAGGCAGAAGGGACTTACAAGTGATATGATATTCAAGATTCCTTTTCTAATCAGCTATATCAGTTCCATCATGACATTAATGGAGGGCGATGTGATATTAACTGGTAATGTCTCTTTTTCTTGCTGCTATACAGCTGTTTTAGACTTTTAGTGCGTTAAGGGATCTCTTTGTCAGTTATTTCATGGGCCCTCTACAGGTACTCCCCCAGATGGTGTAGGTCCTGTCCGAGTAGGACAGAAGATCAGTGCTGGTATAACTGACCTCATTGATGTAGAGTTCGATGTTCAGAGACGCAAACGTTCATTTTCTAACTGATGCAGCAAGCAAGAAACTATGGTATGTGACACATTGTTTTGGGTCATACCAATGTGTGCTACTTAATTTGATCTGTATGCAAGAAAATAAGATGTTAAGGCTGAATGCCTATTTCTGATGCAACTAAAGCACTGGTATTGTATTACTGAGTGATGAAACCATATTATATTTTGGCAGCGTTCTTGTTGCATTGTACTGACTCAAACATCTTCCGTTGTGTAATTGATAATTCATGGAAACATAGGTTTCCAACTTCCACTGTGGCATAGGACATGAAATCATAACGTTGCTATTGCATCTGTGTGACCAAAATTGTGCGTAGGGTCACATGGGTTGTTTATATGTACAACTTCACTAGTTGATATTTTTGTACTGGACTGTATCTGGAACAATAATGCTAGATGTGATCATTCACTTGTGCCATGAGTTAGTGAAAGTTGGCACAATCCTTAATCTTTCCAATTTCAGTACGAAATGCAGAAGTGCAAATCATTCCAGAGTTCTTGTGGTTGCGTGCCCGAGCAAAAACTTTGTTGCCATATGTATCTTTTGCGCCTATAGTTGTAGCATTAAGCTCCCACTTGCTGCAACATGTTGTAGAAAGGCTATGCTGTTGCTGTGTAATAGACTGTCAAGAACTGAAGGTCCATTATTCCTCCCAGATTCGTCGATACTTCCGTATAGAAGCCCTCTAAGGTCCAATAGACTGCCAAGTCCCAATAGTTTGAGTAAATTGCTTATATGCTATTGAACAACTACTGGATTCACAGTATGCCTCTCATATGAGAGGCTGACATGCAGGTCCAGGGTGTCTGAAGCATCACTGGCATATAGTGGATTTGTTCAGTGGCAGATAAACAACTTTTCCCTATTACTATTAGCCACATGTTGTGCTTATTCCGTGTATGTGGAGACCTTCTCCAGACTTCATGTAAAAGTATAGGACCATCAAACTGTACATGCCAATCCTCAGAAAAATTGTACATGCCAACCCTCAGAAAATTATGCATGCCAGATTTTTTGGTAGATGGAATTGTGAAGATTGCATTACGTCATTGGAGCAAGCGATTCACTGGCCAGCAAAGACATTGCAAGGAACAGGGTGAATTGTGCCAGAATATGCAGACGCCCTGTTCCATTGTCACATCATGGACATCCATCTCATGGGCAACGGCTTAGTTTGCGGTTTCTACTTGCTAGAGTATGTTGTGTTCAACTTTATAAACTTCTGCAAGAAAGTAGTTGTGGGGAAGTTAGCATTCTGCTTGACAAACTAGATTAACATATTGATTGTTTGCATCAATTTGGGGTAGCAAGTGATCCCTTTCACTACATAATACAGGTTGGAATTAATCTTGGTGTTGAGATTGTTTCTGATGGCCTGCTGTGGTTGCCTGCTCATTATTGATACCATTATTATCGATGTTGTCATGCCAAAACTGCTTCTTCAGTTTACCTTATGAAACCAGATTATGAGGCTTCATTTACATTACCTAGGAGCGAAGGCTATGTTCCTCCATGTGAAGTTCTTGTTGCAGCTAATCACCGCTGTAAATTATTAGTACGTAATTTATATGGTGTAATGGATGTGGAAAGGAAAAGTTCCCTACTCTTTCCTGCATGCTTTTCCACCTTCCATATTTCTTTCAAGAAGACCTGACAATTTACTAGTGTGTGCCGTGAAGATTGAGAATTTGGATCGTAATTCTAGTCATTCACCTAATTTTGGATGCAGGAAATAAAATTCTGAGAGTACCGGAGAATCATTCTGAGGAATGTTGGAATTTGAAGGATTTTGGGGATGCAATTTCAACCTCCGCTTTCTACCGATCCTGGCGAATATATCTGTTCCTGTGGGTTGATTACGACCCGTACTAAGTCGGTACTGGATGATGTTGCCACTTGGAGCTATGGACATTTACGTTTTTCAGTCCACCCTCAGTCAGACATGTGGCGACATTTGGCCATTGTTGCGCATATACACATCCTCGCGGCTGATTCTATATACATCAGTTTATCAACACTTGCGAGCCAATTGGACAGTTGACACCTGATATCTATCTATATGTATTTGATGTTTCTCTGGCTATTCACTATCGTAGTACGCATAATTTACCAGGCAAAACCTCAGGAGGAAGCCCTGTGATGTGAAATGCTACTACCTAAAACTATAGCTAGCGTGCAATGAAGGTGCTTGAATACGTCGTGGTTGACGGTAAGTAGGTTGACCAGAGTCAACAAGAGGAACCATATGTGGCACTTGGCTTAAATGTATGTCGGACGTCCACATCACCAACGCGTTTGCTCGGCGCATCGCTGATCTCTTCTCCTTATCCGTCTCCCGTGGCTTCACCTGCCCTAACCGAAGATCAGGCGCAGATGAAACCACGGAACTTTTGGCCGAAAGAGAGAGGCCGTGTGGAAGGGGTCGCATTGGATACGCCGTCGCTGTCTTTGACGGTTTCGTCAGGCGTGGCCGCTACAGACAGACAGACAGACACTAGCTGTAGTCTGTGTGTGGATTGGTTCCGAGGTCTACCACCGTCCACTTGCTGCTTGCTGTTGTTTACACTTTGCCCCCAAGACCGACCACCCGACATGCCTTGTGATCGTAGCTTCGGTTACTTTGATTCCTTCCGAAATTGCGGCGTGAATTTCCTTTGCTCTGTCTGGAAATGGCTGTATGTACGTAGGCGCATACGGCGGCTGCGGGTCATGTTCCTGCTAGGGTTTTGTAAGATAAGATGGAACGGTAATGCTACATCTACGTAAGAGAAGTTACGTGTTTTACGTAAAAGGCCA